GGCTAGTGGAATAGGGCACAATTGCAATAGACGAGTTTGACTCCAAATTTCCATGAGTGCAACCATTCTAACTGCAAAATATGGTGGGAAAGAAATCCAGACGAGCCAGAAATGCAGACTGTCATTGCGTCCAGCAGTACTTTTGTTTACCTGTGAAGGTCTTAAACTTTGTACAGACTGCAGTGTAGGGGTGGGAGAAGACCTTAAACAACTGACGTACGGGTGGCCCCAGTTTATATCAACGTGCATTTTTCGCAAGATTTAGTCTACGATAGGAGAAGGAAATAGGTGCCACTGGTGTAAGAGGGGACTTCGAGGTAAGTTTCAGTTGGGTTAGGGTTCGGATCCGGGCATAGATACCATTTCCTCCCCCTGGAATCTAACACAAATCTGCCTGTAACATGCAGGCAACTAAACCTGTTGCCAACCTAGTCAGGTCTATGCAAGCGAAGATGAATACCTCGGGAAACACTTAAGTAGAACAAGAACTTCAGTCACTTGACGCTTCAGGTTAACGCTTGAACCCGTCATCTCTATCCATGAAACAGATCGTCCAGTAAAAATCACGCCAGTATCTAACCTGAGTGAGTAAATTTCCGCGACTAACGACTCAAATGTTAGCTATCGAGTAATAACCGCACTAAGGGCAACTATCCTCGATGAAGGTGGAGCCGTTAATTGTCATAGATATGCGGTAGCATGGCAACTGCCTCCAATTGTGCAGGAACTACCATATCTGATTGATGATGGTGGTGGGTTTGAGTAGGATCCAAGACATCAGGCGAATAAAGGTAGCGTTTCGGCAAACAGCCCACTTCTTCCGCGCATAAACGAACTTGTCGCTATGTCCCAGACAAATCCGTATATAACCTTCCTTCAAGCAAACTCCTCTATCCACAAGCCATGCGATGAGCCCGGTCAACAATTCCGTAGTTCCAGCATCAAATACACGGTTCTTGAAGCTGCAAGATCATCACACTGAATAAAATGCCTCACCTGATACCCCGGAAGCACGAAGGATAGGCAGAGGTCATCAATTTCCGAATCCAGGACCTGCAGCTCTTTGCGTACTCGAGACTGACTCTGGTGAAGCTGCGAGTGACTACCATCATCCGTCCTCAACGTGCGCCCAGCTGAGATCGGCTGAGGATGCTGCGACAGGATCTCAAGCAGGTTCTGTCGCCGTCGGTTCATTCGCATGAGGCTTTGGTAGTGGCGAGCAAAGTCAGGGTCTACAAAAGCGATGTCGGCCGCGGTGACACCCGCAGGATTTGCGGCCAAGTTCAGGTCCTCGGGTACGGAGACGTAGAGGAACCACTTGAAGAAGGTGAGCGAGAAGGGCAGATCAAGCTGACGCCAGTCGAGCAGAGAGCGTGCCATGAGTTGACCGAGGA